AAAAAAAAAAAAAAAAAAAAAATTCCTTAAATAGTTAGACACTCTATATAAAATGCATATGAATGCATTTCAAATTTCAGCCTGAAGGCTGGGCATGGTGGCTCATGCCTATAATCTCAGTATTCTGGGAAGCTGAGTTGGGTGGATTACAAGTTCAAGACCAGCCTAAGCCACAGGGAGACCCTGTCTCTAAAAATAAAAAAAATTTAAAAAAATAGTGAGCTCCCAGCTACTTGGGAGGCTAAGGCAAGAGGACTACTTGAGGCCAAAGAATTTGAGGTTGCTGTGAGCTATGATGCCACAGCACTCAACCATGGGCAAAAAAGTAAGACTCTGTCTCAAAAAAACAAAAACAAAAACAAAAAGCAAATTTCAGGCTCAGTTAAAATGAATCATCAACTCTTTCCTCTCTTCTCTCTTCCAAAATGGCACAGGCTGTGATAGAAAGGGGATTAGAACGAGAGAGTTCATTTTTAAGTACAGATAAGTCCTGTAGCTGTAAACAGAGGCTATCATACTTCAGTAGAGGAAGTTAGCCATTTCAGAACAGGGTCAGGTTCTATAATAGTCCAGATTATAAAAGACTTTTTTTAAAGGCCAATGTGCTTCTTAACTAATATATATTTTAAGTAGACAAACTTCTGAAATGTGAATAATACAGTCAGAAATGAAAAGAAAATTTATTAAAACGACCTACTTTTTTAATCCTTAAAAATGAGAGCACATTCAGGAGACCAAAGTAAACTAGTGAATAAAGTTACTGGGCTTAAAGCTTCTACCACTCATTCTTGCACTTTCTGCTCCATATGATAAGAAACGTAGGCAAAATCGGCCTCTTCTGGATAAACTCATGTCTTTCTCTTATTCACCCTTCTCTTCTAAGGAAAAACAGCCAAAGTTAGGCGAAGGCTGGTTCTGCAGACACGGCCATACTTCTATTTCTCTCCTACAGGCAAACCTAAAGATGCTGGTCCCATGGGGCAGCACCTATGGCTCAAGGAGTAGGGCGCCAGCCCCATATACCGGAGGTGGTGGGTTCAAACCCAGCCCTGGCCAAAAAAAATAAAATAAAATAAATAAGATGCTGGTCCCAAGATTGAGATTTGGGGGAGGGAACAAATAAGAAGAGGTTAGGAGGAAAAAAACATGAGGTAGAGGAGGTATTGCTTAAACAGCATAAATCTAGAAATGCTTTCTTTAACAGAATAAATCTAGAGGCTCAGCGCCTGTGGCTCAAGCGGCTAAGGCGCCAGCCACATACACGTAAGGTGGCGGGTTTGAATCCCCAGCCTGGGCCTGCCAAACAACAATGACAGCTGCAACCAAAAAATGGCCAGGTGTTGTGATGGGCGCCTGTAGTCCCAGCTACTTGGGAGGCTGAGGCAAGAGACTCGCTTGAGTCCAGGAGTTGGAGGTTGCTATGAGCTGTGATGCCATGGCACTCTACCCAGGGGGATAGCTTGAGGCTCTGTCTCAAAAAAAAAAAAGAATAAATCTAGAAAAGTTCCATCTTTTCTGTATATGATTTTAGCCTAGGCATGAATAAATACTCCCTGTAAGTTTTTCACCTTTTTATTTTTATTTTTGAGACAGAGTCTTACTTTGTTGCCCTTGTTAGAGTGCTGTTACATCATAGCTCACAGCAGCCTCAAACTCTTATGATCAAACGATTCTCTTGTCTCAGCTTCCCAAGTAGCTCGGACTACAGGCACCGGCCACAATGCTTGGCTATTTTTTTTTAGAGATGAGATCTTGCTCTGGCTTAGGCTGGTCTTGAACCTGTGAGGTCAGGCAATCCACCCACCTCGGCCTCCCAAATGCTAGGATGATAGGTGTGAGCCACCGTGCCCAGCCTCCCTGTAAGTTTTTTAAAGTTTATTGTTATCATATTATTATAATTACTGTAATAATTGCAATATTTTATAATTAATTATGCATTCATTATAGAAAAATTGGGAATATATAGAAAAGAAGAATGTAAAATTGCACTTATCAGTATCTAAAGCCAACTATAATTAACATTTTGGTGTATTTCCTTTTAGTATATTTTAGAAGTGGAAATTTTTTGGTATACATGGCTTAGCCTTAAGACTTAAAAACGGTAAAGGCAGAGCCTAATTTGTAAGCGCCACAAATGTCAACTAACCTAAAAAAGTATTTGTAGTCTTAGAGCTAAATATATAAATCATTGGCTGGCTTTTAGGAAAAATATATGCCAATCATGCTTACCTTCTCAATCTCTGGCAGACAATCTAGCAGGTCAACAGCAAACTTAGAGTCACTGGGGTCATTCTCACAACCACTGGATGACATCTTCAAAGGACTTTTTGCCATTGCATCTAACACAGCCTCATAAAGCTGCTTTGTTATCAGAGGAGAAGGAAGTTCTCTTAAATAATCCTTAAGAACACCTTTAGTAAACAAATCAGAGGCAGTTGGGGACTGAACTTCAGTATGAAAGAAAGAAGTATGGTGATTTTTAAAAATTTAGGTATTAAAGCAGCTAATTTTTAATATTATGGAGACAGTAAAAGTAATATAAAAACAAAATATTAGAACAAAACATTAGCATTTTGTATTCTTTTAAGGTAACGGCATAACTGGCCTTTTGTTTTGAAAGCATATTAATAAATACACATACATAATTTACAGTTACCATACATATTAGTTTAATCATAAAGTAAGCTACTCTTAATACACATACCCTTATTCATCCTGCCTGCCTATAAAAAGCTCCTCTAAATATATGTAAAATAGAAGTTAAGAAACAAGACATACTTATGTTAATTGAAAATTATTATAATTATTCAAGTGGTGAATTTCTAGATTTTTAATTGACAATTTAAAAGTTCCAAGGATCCAAAACCCTTCCAAATAAATGCAAATAATATAAACATATTTCCTCTTTAATACTGGAGATGTGTCTTAAATAATATAATGGACATTTGGATAATTTCTTATGCTATATTATCATATAGAAGGAAGCAATCATTCCTAAAAGCAAACAAATAAAATTCAAAAGCCAAGAACAGAAAACATCAGACTTGTCACCATAATAGTAGTGACAGAAGTCAATTACAAACACACCACAAGTGGTTTTGAACCAAGAGATATCACCTATAATACAGGAAACTGGAAAGAATAATGGTTATTATACGTAGGATATAAATCAGGTGGGTAAGATACTGGCTAAACGCTGGATCGTGATCACAAGAGAAAGAGGAGGTATTCGTGACACTGAAAGCCTAAATATTATACAATATTGAGTCAGAGCATGTCCTCAGCTTACCTAAGAACCTGGTTTGAAAGTTCAGTTTGAACTTAAACATGATTATGTAGGGTGCTTACTGTCTGATAATTTTTAAAAATAGCAACATGGTTCATTAGTTTCTTATACATCTTTATAGCGTTCATTTATGCAAATATTGTTTCCTTTTATTATACAAAAGATAGCCCATATAAATTGAGTATCCCTAATCCAAAAGTGCAATATCTGAAATGCTTTAGTCAACATTTCCTTTGAGAATCATGCAGGTGCTCGAAGTTATAGATTTGGGAGCACTTTAGATGTTGAATTTTTGGATTAAGGATGCTAAACTAACAATTCAAATGCAAATGTTCCAAAATTTAAAAAAAAATGAAATCTAAAACCCTGCTGGTCCCAAGCTTTTCAGATAAGGCATCCTTGAAACATATATCCTGTTTCATTTCTTGCTTTCTCATTTTAAATCATACCCTTGAGATCCTTTCAGTATATAGAGAACCTCCTCAATCATTTTTACAGCCATATCACAGTATTCCAAGACATGGACATCCCACAGGTTTATCTACTCAATCCCTTACAGATGGATACTAGGATTATCGCTAATCTTTTGTTATTCCAAAACATGCCACAGTGAATGACCTTGCATACATCACTTTATATGCATGCAGTTATGAGCTGCTAAGTCAAAAATGCATTTGTAATTTTGAGGAAAAATAATGTTTTTTCTCTGTGTTTGGAACTTGAGCATCTGGGTGGATACTAGCAAGCATTACTTGAAATAGGGAACAAAAGAGGAATAAAAAACATCCAGCACCCAAGACGGTAAAATTTATATTTGACATCCAATAAAAAATTACCACATATATAAATAATGGGGCAAATATGACCTATAATGAAGAGAAAAATCAAATGAAACCAACCCAGAAAAGATACAGATGATAGAATTAACAGAGAAACACACAAAAACATTTGTTATAACTGTATTTCATATGTTCATCTTAGAACAAAGATGGAACTTGTTAAGTAGAGACACAGAAAAGTATTTTTAAAAACTCAAATCAAACTAGTCTAGGAAACCTGAGACTAAAAATACTAAAAATAAATGGGATAAATATCAGAAGAGACTAATTATTCGAAGACATAGCAATAGAAACAATCCAAAATGAAGCAGAAGGGAAATAAAAAATAGAATTATCAGTGAGCTGTATAATAACTTCAAGTGGCCTAAAATATGTGTAATTATAATTTTCAAAAAAAAGGAAGAGGCGGGGGCAGGAGGGCGATAGTAGTGTAGAAACAAAAAAAAATTTGGAAAAAAAACAGACAAAGCCACAATCAGAGTTAGAGATTTTAACACTCCTGTTAGCAAGGAGAAGGATATGGAAGACTGGGACAACATTACTAACCAACGGGACTTTATTGATAGTTACAGCACAGACTGGCCAAAGCCACCAGAATATTGAATTCTTTTCAATAGCTTAAATTGAACATTTACCACAAGAAAATCATATTCAGGGTATTAAAGTAAGTCCAAATAAAAACAAAAGCTTTTAAGACCTATGAAGTATGTTCCCTAACTATGAAGGCTTTGCCGGTAGGTAGAACTCAGTAAAGACAGCAAGGCAAGGAAATTGAGGGCATATGCATGAAAGTGGCTGAAATGAAGAAGCCTGAAATCTAATGTAACCACAGAGGAAATTGTAAGAGAAAGGAACTGACCAAGCAAAAATAAATCAAAGGATGACTAATGAAGTGAAAAGCAAGAGTCAGAAAAAACCTGAGGGATAGAAACTGTAGCTCTACAATGAAATGAATTCAAAATTTGAAGCCAAAACAATTCTAGATAATGAGAACCTAGATAATGTTAGGAGTAGTCACTAAAGTAGAGCTGGCATAAAGGTCACTGGGAATCTTTGTAACGGATAGGAGGAACTGATAATCTAGGCTTCTGAATTAGACATTTGTAGGATAGGATTATGGCATGACTTGGGGTAGAAATATAACCAGAGTTGAGATATCAAACATAGGTCTATAAAAAGGCAGATGTTTGTGGCTCATGCCTAAAATCCTAACACTCTGGGAGAACAAGGGTGGTAAATTGTTTGAGCTCAGGAGTCTGAGATCAGCCTGAGTAAAAACAAACCTCCATCTATACTAAAAATAGAAAGTGTAGCCGAGTGTGGTGGCGGGCACCTGTAGTCCCAGCTACTCCACAGGCTCAGTGAGGCAAGATGATCACTTGAGCCTAAGAATTTGAGATTGTTGTGAGCTATGATGCCATAGTACTCTATACAGGACAATGGAGTGAGACTCTCAAAAATAACAAAAAACAAACAACAAAAACCCCCAATTAAAGTAGGATTAAAATCAGAAAAAGACATGACCAAATAAATTTTTTTTTTATGTCAAACATTTTATTTTATTTTATTTTATTTTTTTGAGACAGAATCTCAAGCTGTCGCCCTGGGTAGAGTGCCATGGCATCACAGCTCACAGCAACCTCCAACTCTTGGGCTTAAGTAATTCTCTTGCCTCAGCCTCCTGAGTAGCTGGGACTATAGGAGCCCGCCACAACGTGAGGCTAATAAATTTTTATGTACTAAACCTAGATACCGATTGTGTAGCATTGATATGAAATCTATTTTACTGTGAGCAAATACACTGAAATCAAATTTCCTCCTCACCCTGCTTATGATCATAAGCAAGAAAAAAAAAAGAAAGATAAAATAGAAATTAAGAAAAAAAAAATAAAAATAAATTTCAAAAAGAAAAAAATGAGAAAAAATAAATTTCCTCCTCAGAAGACTTAATCTTTTTTAACTCAGCGCCCTTAGCGAAGTGATTAGGGCACCGGCCACATACACCAGGGCTGGCGAGTTCAAACCTGGCCCACGCCTGCTAAAACAACAATGACAAAAACAACAACAACAACAACAAAAATAGCCGGGCACTATGGTGGGTGCCTGTAGTCCCAGCTACTTGGGAGGCTGAGGCAAGAGAATCACTTAAGCCCAAGAGCTGGAGGTTGCTGTGAGCTGTGATATCAAAGCACTCTACAAGGGTGACGTAGTGAGACTCTGTCTCAAAAAAAAAAAAAAACTTACTCTTTTTAATAATCAGTAAATAATAAATATTTCTACTTTTTAAAATTCTCTTCTCATTATCTTTAGTAAGTAAGCTCTAGAAACAAGTATGAGTAGACTTCATAGCTTAAATTTTGTACTTGATGAAAAAAACCTGGTTTGTCTGGAGCATTTCATTCTGTGTTCCAGACAAACCAACTACGAAAAACACATTAAACGGTGAACAAACTCTATTATTCACTTCATTAATTTCTCATTTTTTAGACCTACTGAACTATTAATTATATTTCAAGTTTACTCAGAAATGTGAGTTCATGTGGAACAAACACATGAGGCAACACCATTACCAGCCAATTCCCCAAATCAACAATAGCCTTTATTTTGAGGCACATTGCCTTTGTGTCATGCAATTCCAATGGTATTTCTCAGACAAATCTTAAATCACTTCATTGGCTTTTTATCAAGAAAGAAAACAGCTCTAAATTCTTTAGAAAAACAGCTCTACTGAAATGGAACAGTACAAAGAATGCAGCCAAGAAATACTCAATTTACAAATGACAGAAATTCACAATTTTAGAAAAGAATGTTATAAATCTAACATTCACTTACCTAAGTTTGTTTGTATATTCTGCATATGCTGCAAATTTCCAAAACTAAGAACCCTGTTCTTCATTTTGTCTTTTTTAATTATACATGTTTAACATAATTTTTATTCCTAAGAGAAGGCTTCCCAAGACAACATCTACTTCTACATATAGTGTGTAAGTTCCTGGAAATTGGAATTTATAAAATTTCTTTCATGAATTCATAAAATTTGGGTATTTGCTAATTTTTAAAATGATATATTAACAAGGTAAGACAATTCCATTAAAAAAAAAGAAAATTCCACTTTTTAAGACATCCCACTATTTTTGTAGAAATAAGCTTCTCCCTTTATTCAAAAAAAGAAATCGCTATTTCTGATTTGGTGAAACATACACATGGAAGAAAAGAAAAGTGCCTTGGTTTGCTTTCTCTGAGTATGAAATGCTTTGGGTATCCAAGAATAGACATTAAATACTTTATGAAAACACAGTCATTCAGCCTTCAGAGAG